TAATTAATAATTTAGATAACATTTCAGGCCTAAAGAAAGACCTGCAATAGGCAGATTTAGCTCTTGCATAATGTATGTTTAACAATGTTTATAAAATATTTAGTTTTATTTTTGTTTTAATATGAAGTGTAATGTTGATACCTAATTAAGTTAATAATTGACAGAATAGACGTAAAAAAATCATACTTATCAAATTTTTATTTTTAAAATAATACCTGCTCCATTTTGGATATACGGGTTAGTTATTGCATTACATGTACATTATTAGCTGTTTGATAATATCGTCGATGTGGGATGGTTCGATCGTGGGATAGTTCAACTAAGTTAAAAATCGTTGTTTTCAGGAAGCAAATGTGCGGATGCTGATTCACATATACCGTTTTGTGAATATAATTGAATTGTTTAGAAAGTAACAGAAACCGACAGAGAATAATCAGTCATGTGACATCCAAATAGCCGACATCAGAACATCTTTTGGCAAAGATCAGAATTTTTTGTTGAATCTCGGTGCGAGCATTTCCGTACAGACGAAAATAGTGCCTTTGAGCTACACACAGCGATGAAACTACCAACACTACTAATAGCCCCATATCATACACCTTGCGCACGTGCCTATTTTCGAATTAAAAAAACATTGACAAAAAGCCGATCTCAAATAACTACATTTGCTACAAAAACCTCAGCTGAAATATTTATAGGTGTATGAGCAGAGATTCATTGAAACGCTCTCTCAAGTACCTACAAACAAACGTAGAGTGTTGACTTGAAGGACAGGTTTCTTTAGCTTTCATTCATTAAAAGCGAACTTTACTTGTTGTAAAGTATCGGTAGTATTTTTCTTCCTACTATAATGAGGTGTTAAAAAATGGGATCAGTTTTTCTGTTTGAATAACGGACCCTTCACTTACTTCAATTCTCCATAAATATTTTTACAATTGCGCGTGTGAGTTGCTTGCCCAAGTGGACGTAAGTGGCCATAAGGGTGCGAGGACTAAACATTATATTGTTAACTCAAATCTGAACAGGAAACTCCACATACCTGCTGACAAGAATTATTTTGTTGAATTATATCTTAACACGCAATTGAAATTAAATTAACAGTTTGTGAAATTCTCTACTTTCACTTGCTACTATATGCAAAGGGAATTTTTCTTTCTTCGGCTATTGATAACATTGAGATATACACACCTAAGTAAACCGACTATTTCACTGACAGATTGTGACCTCATTTCCCTTTACTGCCACCAGACAGAGACTAAGAAAGACCAGTGAGTTTAAAGAAGCAGAAAGGTAATCAGGATCCAAGCAAATGTTCTTTTTTTCATTCTAATCTTTGCCACTATTGACAAGTTCACTGGGTAACAATGTAAGTAGGAAATATTGTGTTTTGGGTAACAATTAATTTGTCCATTTTAAAAAATAAAATCAATAAGTTTTTAGATTAATAATAAATTTAAACTAATAGAAACATTAAAAATTACTTATTCAAAAAATTCCAATGATTTTAATATACCTCTTTTTGAAGTGTCCTAGTCTGCAAATCTTTCTACAGCACTTAAAATATTGTAGAAGGCATAAAATGTTTGGTCTCTTGATTCTTTTGCTAGCCTTAGATTGTCTTATTTACTTCGTCTTTTCTTACGAAATTGGCGCTTTTTTTGGGCGTTGTTTTTATTTTTGCTTTTATATCATTCCAAAGGGATGCTATTTCCACTAACGTGTTCTTAAATTTCTTAATATATTTCTACATTGAATATAAAAGTACGATATGAAAGTACATTATCATTGAGGGTATTGATGGAAGCCCAAGAATGAACATTGTATAAAAGCAACTAAAGGGGAAAGAATAAAAAGCGATATTCTGATGATCTATACAAGACAACTCATACCGGTGAATATTTTCGGCGTTTGATCGTAATTCGATATTCTGGATTCTATTCTCCCGGGATATCATCTTTGTTGTTACACATGGTTTGGAGTAGGGGAAGATACGGCCATGATCAGCCACCATTGCTCACATGAAGACTAAATTTACTGAAATCAGTCCAGTATATTCACTTTACATTCTTACCCTACTTTATCCCCAGGAAAAACCGGTTAACATCGACACGTTAACGCAACGTTAGACAATATAACAAAAAGCATACATAGGAAGTCGAGTAAAAATGGATGTTTTTTTATGTGCTTGATATCTATTCAGTGTCTATATTATACGATCAAGGCATCTATATACGAATACTTCACATGCCAGACGCAATGTTCAGAAATATTCCTGGGAATTTGCATTATTCGAAATTATAAACACATGAATAAACAATGATATGTTCTCTGATGATTTGCAGTGTGAATATATTCGATTTTATTGTTATTCTTCATCAAAAACTAAACAGCATCGCGTTTGGCTAGTTAATTGCGGTAATTTGGTTGTGATTTATTAACTCGAGTTGGTATGTATGTATAATTTGATTGGCGTGTCATTATCTATAATAATGCCCTCATACTGGCAAATTACCAGATAATAGAATAATGGATACCGGTTAAAGTATTTTAAATAACTGTCAAATGACAAGTACATCCGGTACTGTGTCGTGAGAGCGTGGAAAGATGCAATGATCACATTGTACTTTATGATTTTGTTTTGGTTTCTGTTATTTTTATTATATATGATTATATATGATATAATTGCACCAGTTTAGTCTAATATTTAGATTTCTTAAACTGCAGTCTATTCATTAATATTTAGATTGCAGTCATTTCTATCTATATCGAAATAAGATTGCCAGATATTTTGGAGGGAATGTTTCAAACATTCAAAAATCGGTGCAAGGAGGTTTAATATTCAAAATAATTCAATGATCAAAATGGGAAGGACACGTTGTATTCGATGAAAAAAAATCGTAAACTTCGCGTACCAAATATTTTTTTTACCATGTTTGGTCTGTGTATCATCTTATAGAGGGGATCGTCCTGTCAATGGTTTTCGTTTGTCGATGACTAACCAAATATCTACACCAGTCTACAAATTTAAACCCCGTCTGTTAATGATAATGAGAAAAATTCCTAATTAAAATGTGTCTATCTTGAGTCAGATATATTCCATGAAAAAAGTAGATGCTGGTGACAAGTTCATTTTCGCTGAGTTTAAGAGATAACTCCACGTAATATTTTAATTGTTGGTAGCTGTATATACATATACTTGTGCTGCGTTTACCGACTAGAGCGTAATTTGCTCACCTATGTCAAGTATGCTGTGATGTTGGTTTCAACCAGGTAAATCGCGCGTGGTGATGCTCACGAGGAGGTCCCAAAATCACAAGGAATCTCCCGCGCTCCTCGTATCCAGCTCGCGTGCGCAAAACGGCGGCGTTTCAAAGACAAAAATTTGGAAAAGTATGTGTTTTATTTTGACCATTTTTGGGGTTATGAGTGCACTTTGGGTTGACTATATATACTAGAAAGTTTTCACTAATACTCACATGCCCCGAGTGCATTACTATAGGTACACGTGCGGTCTCTGTCCATAAACACTACCCATCCTTGCGAACCTGCACGAAGAAATAAAATAATTATTTAGATGTAAATATTGATCTCAGAACCTCAAACGTTTTTAGTTTATGGTTAATAACCCCTTCTTTTAAAAAAAAATTCAAAAAAGTAAAAATAAATTTTAGGAGAGTGAGTAGACAAGTCGACATGCGAGAGGTATTAGCAGTGAGGTGAGAAACGTTTCACGGGCCAGAAAAAGCGATGTTTGAAAAGGAATTAATTATATGTGATTCACTTGAATCGAAGCGATCTAAAGAAATTCAGAACAAACCGTGAACACTACACGTAAGTCTGGGTAAACGTTGAAAGAACGTGAAAATTTTGATTGGTGAAAATCTTAGATGTACATGCAGTATAATTCCTTTTGACACGTTGTGACAGTTCGAGAAAGCACGCGTTGGCCCGCTATTTTTCTCCTCTATTTTCCTCCTCATTCATAGAATATTTGCATGTCTTCTTCTACGTTTAGATATTAAAAGTCACTAAGCTAACATATACTTTAACGTTTGGACAGACTTTGTTTTAAAAAATTTCTCCTTGCCAAAAGTAGTTATTTGAGACGGTCGATTGTGATTGCCTGCAATCTGTGACCGCTAGATAAAAACAAATCGAAGAAAAAAGAAACGGAAACAGGGTATCAATTGGCGCCGAATTTTCGTGTCCCGAACCGGATTTCTTATTATTGTTTCTAAATATTTGTGAATGAGTGGATAAAAAGCTTGATTAAGGAATCTCTCTCGAGTTTTGTGAAGAATGTCAGTCTTTTTCCAGAACTGGTGAAAAATCTCCCAGTTTCATATTTCTAGTAGAAATAGACAAGCTCCAGAGTATTATAGTGTTTTCTATGAAGTGAATAATTCGGTAAGGGAGAATATATTGGGGTTTTCGAGACTTGGATCAAAAGTTTTTGTCGATAGTATAGGGGGTGTCGAATATCAAAGACATTATCCAAGACGCCAAGACAAAAGCTTTCTTATTTATATAGAATGTTTACGTACGTTAAAGCAATACTCCCGGGCGCAAACTCATCACGAGACGATATTCGATTTTTATCATATAACTATAGCAGTAATTTTTGGTAAGGTGCGAAAATAAATGGGTTAATTTTATTGATTGTCTTTGTTAAAAGGTATTTCTCTTCTGTGTTTTTGTTTTGTACTTTTTGGTTGAGAACAGCTTAAGCAAACATTTATTTTATAAATATAATTATAAAACATTAATTAAGGTAATTGTGTGTCGCTGGCTTCTAGAATGTCTGCAACATCAAACATAACATTGAATAAAATCTTTGATACAAGACAAAAGACCCATATAGTAGCCCAATTCACATCTCAGCAAAATTAATTGGTCCGAGGGCGGAGTTTAAACTTTTCTTATCCAATTGACCGCTTTGACAGAAAATAAACCTTTTCCATGCATTTGTTTAAGAAATTTGATGCTCGTATGTATGTATAGCCCACATATGGTTGGGTGAAATATATATATGTACATATATATACAGGTTGAAAACAAAGCGTATATAAAACTAATATAGCACAATGGAAACCGGGTGAAAGTGCTTAAAATACACCTAAACGAGTTTAGGAAAATGTATGTTTTCTTCGGGCATAAATTTGTGGCAACCGGCATATTGGGCTTCTTGGATGTGCACTATTACATATTGGACTGTAGGACAAGGAATAATAATTAGTGTGTAATGAATTTAAACAAGTCTGTACCATCAAATAGATGATAAAAAGTTACCTGTATATTTTGTGAAAAGACAGCCATTTGGGAACAAGATTATACTTGAAAGACAGATATAAAACAATGTATAAGATGTTTATGTAGAGTATTTGGACTAGCCTACTATATAACCAATTAGATGGTTGAAAATCACCTGTAAATTTCCAAGTAAATTAAAAGGAGTCAGTATCTTCACGTGAGGTTTGGCTACAAGAGCTGAAGTTTTTCACCCAACTCCGATAAAATACAAGAGGCATGTTCACTGGTTAAATTCTGTATCTATGTCTCTCTTATCTCATCCAGGACTAGCAACGTTTCTTTACTCTGTACAACCCGATGACGATTTTTAATTAACGAAAAGCAAATAAGAGGAGCATTGGTGTGCGACGTTCACCTATCAGTGGTTTATACAGTCGCTTGCGGCCGAGTATGTCCTCTTGACTGTTTCATATACACATATATATGTAGCGATGTAGTTAGATGTATACCTATATACCGTTAACGGTCAGTTCCGGACGGGAATGTACCTATGTCCTTTCACAAAAACACGACGCACTGCCTCTAACATCTCGGAAGGTGAGTGAAAGCCTATCTTTAATACCATTTTATTTTTATTTACAAAAAAAGGAAAAAATACCATAGCTCCGAATATTTGACCAAAAATGTACATTTATTTTCAGTTCTAATATTTTCTTCTAATTAATTTAGATAATCTCAAGGATTATCTTAGTCTAGTTTGATTTTATTGAATAGTCAATACCTTTTTATTATAATAAATTATACAACGTATTTTATAATAATTTGAAATTTGTCTGACATTGATGATGTGGGTTTTGTAACAAAAATATTTACCAATTGCCCCATTAAGCAACATTGAAGACCCACCGCTAATATTTATGTTGTTTCACAGACATTTTAACTTTTTAAGTCGCCGAAATTTTCATGTAAATATGACCTGTACGTTGTGAAAGCTATTGAATGGGGGCTTATTTGCAACAATAAGAGGTTTAAGTGAGGTGTTGGGGACAATAATCTGAACAAAGAGAGGGAATGTTGCGAACCACGTTAACACTATAGCTTAGTTCCGCGTTGTGTTAGACACAAGTTGACTTAGGTAACAGACTTGTCACCATTTCTTAAACTTATTCATAATAAATATTATCATTTACTTTTCTACATCTTACTTCCTCGTTATACAGATGTCTAATTTTCAAAACTGATGAAAACGACCACAACGAAAATTTTGGATTCGGAATTTCCGGTGCTCAACTTTGAATGAAATTTCTGATAATATATGCAATAGAGCGTAATATTAAATCAAAGTCGTAAAATTTTATGATAAAGACAATTTCAATAAATTTGACTGGTTCAAACCATACGAAAGCTCACAGAACGTTTATAAAAATCATATTACATTAAGGTAAATAAATGTTTGAATTAAATGTCTTAATTATACTGATAGTGAAAAGTAAGGGTGTATTAATGTCCTTCTACAGAAGCGTGGTGTAGAATTCTATGTACCAGGTGCTAACCCTCCATAGATGGCGCTTGCTGTATTCCGGAAGCAGCACTTCATCCACGGAACACAAGGTCGCGTGTTATCGTCAATTCATTACAATCTAATATCTCATATCGCCCCAATCCATGTTCAACCTCGCTCTATCTTGGCACATCTCAAATGAAACTATAGATACGACATAAGTATACATATAAATAACAAAAAAATGCACATGTAACTGCTGCTGCCTCCAGACACACTACAAATTGAGACACTTTTAACAGCTGCAATTAGAAAAGATAATGGTAGTTTCGTATCATTGTTATTTAATACTGTCTCGACGCGATATCTTAAAGTTAAAACATTTATTATTCTAAATTGATGTGTAACCTTTTAATTGATGGATTTAAAATTTATATAAGAAAATTTATACGTTAATCGGCGTTTTAGATTGTTCTTGTCAAAATTCTAGAGATGTAACATATAATGGCGCTTTTCTTCTGTTTATATTGTATGTTTACTAAATTGAGCAATAAATAACTGTAATTTATACCACATAATATTACTCCGTACATACAAAATTATGTTAACTTGTTTAACATTTGTTTAATTGTCTCGATATAAAAGTTCTTTGTTTAATGTGAAGTGTAAAAACAACCAAATACATGATTATAAAGACCTCTACACTTTTCCCTAAGAATTTTTGGTTAATAGGCAACAACCTTTGACATAAGGCTACGAGAGACGCGAAAAAAGTGCAAGTCGACCACCTAATAAGCCCTTATCTTACGCCGTGAAGATAAAATTGACAAATAAGATCTCCTGAAAGCCAATAAAACTCACCAATCCCCAAATAAAACGACCCAAGATTGTCTACCGAAGGAGGTGACCGTACATCAAATATGGCGTTAGATAGTGGTCATTAAAATTGTAGATGGCGTTAACCAGGCCTGCTGGTTCTGATTCCACTATCTGCCAGATGTCTTGTTTCTGGATTTCTATTGGTTGGACTAGGGCCACAATTGAAATAAGAAACAAATTACACAATTACTAGTATAAGACTACGAAGTTGAAAAGGGAGAAAAAAATACTGAGACAATCGTAAAAAGATGAGAGAAATTCCGATAGCATTCTTCTTCAACGTATGAGACTTCTTGGCATAATCGAAATGGCATTCTTACAACGCTTGTGCCTCGCGCGCTGATAAAAACATGGCCTTCGGTCGCACTACATGCTGTCATTGACGTCAGTTAATAATGTTCTTACGTCACTTCCAAAACGCCTGAATTTTTCTTTGCCTGTAATTGGTTCCAGGCAAAAATCAATGTCAAAACAATACATCTTCTCAATAACAACAATAATAATAATTATAATTAGAACTTAAATATTGTTTTTACTTTCGGAATTAAATTTAGTGGGTTTTTTTCTTCTTAACCAATAAGACACCAATAGATTTAATATAATTTAAATTTTATCATCAATTAAAAAAGACATATGTATATCAATTTATTTACCATTACCAATCATTTAATGTATTTGGATAATTGTTTAAAAATAATACTTAAACATGTTTGATTTTTCACATAATATTATCGTTTGTCTCTTAAGTTTATTGTTTTAGCTGTGCCCCGTATTACCAAATTATGTCTTACAAAACATACAGACCAAAGTTCCATTTGAATGTTTTTGGATCATATTTCTAATTTTCCATTTAATTTCCACCCGCTCTCTTAGAACTATTATTTTCACATATAGAACTTCTTCCAAGTATCATACACATAGTAAAAAGTATATATTGTTTTCGTATTCATTTCATAGCTTTCAGCATACTGTTCCCTGGCTCCCCATCAATTTGTATATTTGGTTTGCAGTCCTCATTGCTATTTATTCATTCATTCTCTTCTAGAATTATTTATAACTTATAACCGCTGGGGCAAATATTATTACAACAGCAGGGTATTAAATGAACTTGACATATGAGTCATGTCTAAACAAAGCGCAATAAACAGTTGCCTATCAAACCCTGATAATCTTTTTACATATGCACTAAAAAAAATCAGAATTTCTGGTAGCCATCAGCACTGGTCATCGCTCATCATAATTCACTTCCGGTCATCTGGTCTAAGTTAAGGGACATTAAGAAGCTGAAAAGTTCTGGTCAAAGGCCGTTGATTTTGACGATATCCATATTGTCTTATTATTGTGGCCATTAAATGTCAGGATGATATTTGCATCGGGGAAAATGATTCCTATTTCTTGTACAGCCAGTACTATAAGCTCGTACAATCAACGGCTTGTTTGGCATTCTCAGACTTTTGAAAAGGTGACAAAATGTCAGGGTATAGATCGTGGTATTTTGGACCACTTATAAGCACAAGTTTAGGTTTCATTTCATTTAGAGTTAAAAGCTGTTCATCATAGATAGGTCGGAATATCTCTTGGATGATTTCTCTATTTAATTCGTTCCTTCTTCTTTATCATCTCCTGTGTTGTTTTAGATCTGTAGACATCAGTAGACTTTTGTGTGGTAATTGTTCAAGTTTGACCGGGTGATTGTTTCGGCACTTTTTGCGACCAAATCTATTCAAGGATTTTAAACTACAAGTGTTCAAATCTTAGGAATCAATTTCTCAGAAGATGTTCTAGGTCGAATTGGGCAAGAGGTCATAAGGAGGTTAATTTTTTGATCATCTGGTGTTAAAAACTAATCCATGTCATTCTGAACAAACTACGTTAGTAAAACTGAAATCCAGTAAGGTGGAATCTCGAATGAATTTTGCCAAAGAGAAAAGTTGCTTAGTTTTCGTAGCGTCATTCACCAGCTCAGCTGACCTGACAAGGATACCGTTGTAAAGGTTCAAGACAAATGAATGAACAAGTACCTACATATGAAACATTTTGTGGCGTATGCGTGTTAAAATTTATTTTAAGGTCTGGTTGTACTCACGAGGAGAACATGTCAACGAAACAGTTGTCCAAGTTAATTTGTAAAAAAGGAAATATAAAACGAGGACTTGAATTTGAGCCACCTTAAATTGGGAAGGTTAGTCACTGAGCAAAGAGTACCTTTTATTGATTTAAGAGAACTGATTGTTGGCGGCCCGGGATGATTAACCAAAATCATTGCATTTATACAACCTTATCCGTCCATCGTTTCATCAGACATCTTCAGTTTCTGATGGGACACATGCGCACGCTTTCATGGGCAACTTTATTAATTATCATGACATTGGTTGCAATTCTTTTAAAACAAAACATCTTAATGAAGGTTAGATCAAAGCCAAATTCAGAGCATATGGCAACAATAATATTTTTGGGAAATTTACATACATAAATCTTGTCATGAGAGAGAGGTGCACGAGTGGAACGAAAGACAATACGTGGACGCACGCGCTTTAATACGAACATAAAGTTTGGGAGGAGTCCCACGAGACGGGAAATGACAAGAGTTGTTTTAGCCATTTGTCGGGTAATGAAGCCTATCGCAGAGAGTATATAGGGACTAGTTCTATCTTCCCCACGACTAATTTTCCTCGAATTTAATCGTTAATAATTAATCGCAATCTAGCAAATTATCCATTATTCGCTATGTTATCATTACCCCTGACATTTTATTTGCCCGATCATCCGTATCCTGCCAAATACCCGACGCATGTATACCGTCTTTACTCGTTTTATGATTAAAATCTTTAGATAACTAAAATGTCAAACCAAACCCAGGGAGATGGCCAAGAAAATTGCACCTAGGATTGAAATAACAGATAACAATTATCAAATTCATTGGAATGATTTATTTTATACTGTCTCTTTTCTAATTGCGATTCTTTTAATAAATTCCCAGTCAGTTTCTTATCGCACAGTGCTACTGAAGTCTAATAACAAAGAAATTTATATCTAAAGATCTATTCCTGATTTTTTGCTTACTAATTTGCGATCATTAGAACGAGTCTTTATTGCAACAGTATTTTAAATTAAACTTGGAAATATTAGTTCAATTATGCTTCATTTTAAAGAATAAACTTTTATTTTTGTAATTTAAAATCAAATTAGTAGCTTGTCATATTGAATTAAGGAAAGTAATAGGGGAAGGTAAATTGGACCAAGCTAAAATCGGTACAAGTTGGATCCCAATTCTTTCATTTTCGATTCTAGTAAATTGTCTGGAAGAATAACCAACAGTCGTTAGAGGGCATTGTTTGAAGGAATTTCCTGAGCGTTTTGTAAGTTACTTCATAATCGTTAAATATCATCAATACTGCGCTTTTCTTTGCTGGCTTAATTCAATTTTCTATCTAATAAATGGATTTAATCTTGGCTTGTTATCGTGAAAGTCAATAGGTTCACACATATGATAAGTTTTTTAATTAGTTTTAACTTCACCCCACTTAATTAAAATCGATGACAATCATTAAAAAGAATGAACGGGTACAAAACCTGGTTATACTGGTACATCGTACAGTCGTGACACAATGTATAGATACAGGAGTTTTTATCTCGGAAATTCCACATGGGTCTTTATGAATGAAAAATAGGGATTTTATTTCATTTCAAAGGGATTGCGTTCTAATCGAATTAGAATAATCTTCAAACAGGCACTTTGATCGATTATTTTGCTTCAACACCCAGTTGATGTGTGCAAGCTATGGGGAATTTGTTTTAAATATCTGAAACGTGTGGTGGTCATGTTTTAATCCAAGTATATTGATATAAAACAAATTAAAGTTTATATATTGACCAGTAAAAGTTTGTACTGTGATTTTTTTCTTTATCGTGTACAAATTGTTGAACATTTATATCATTTCCAATATTACAGATATTGCAAAATTACGAAATTATGGTCCAAATTGTAATTCGCACGTGAAAATGTAAAAAAAAATAAAGCTGTTAGAGATTTGTAGAATGGTACGAATTGTCCATTAAGGCTATCGGTTGGTTATGCACAATTGATTACATGTGAGGTTTCACGCGCAATGAAGTAGTTCCGAGCATTCTGATTGGTTCAAGTAGTATATACTAAGTATGGAAACTCGATGAAGTATTTAACTTGTTGTGGTCACCATGAAATATCGGGCCCTTATTTCGTCTATGCCACACCCTTACACTCATCCCCCGGGCACACCAGCAGGTGAGTTTTTCATTTACGTTGCAAAATGGTTCTTCATAACTTAGCGTAATGCTGTTATATTTACGCACACTACACTTTGAATCCTCGCCAAACTTTGCGGTAATTTGCCGGAGAATATGTTTACTTTATTTATAAGAATTATTAGCATTGAATATCTCTTATTAGCATTGAATATCAATTATTAGCATTGAATATCAATTTCTGAAATACAATTTCTCAAAATAGTAGTTTTAAAATTGAAAATATCAACAGAGATGACCGTCGTTATAAAATGTTTTCATTGTTGTCTGTTTACATTTAATCAAAAATTATCAGGAAGTGTCAGTATTCTATTAATTTATTATCTAATATTTTAATATTATGCTTTGTATTTGATATTATTTTTGTATGTTTTGCTGGTGAGTTAGTCAAAACATGTTTTTATAATTGGTGGGAAATATTTGACCATAACAATCTGACAATGTTATTCTATGTTTGGTACTGGTATAATTGATATAATAATGGCAATATAACAATTAATATCATTAGATAAACAATTCATTTGTGTAGAACTTACAAATTATGTTCCCAATATTACATTTATCATACAAATAAATATAACAATCAAAGTTGTTTAATATTGTCAATCATTGCCAATTCTATTAATCTTAAGAATAATTCCAGTCTGATACTGAATAGATCAGAATGCATGGAAAACAATATTCAATAATTATTCCAATAATCCCACAAAAAAAAATATTTCAAAAGATAAATTTAATGGGAAAATAGGATTTTAAAAAATGTGTGTACATTTTATTTTAATGGCAAATTATTGGCCTTGTTATAACATAACAAATACAACGAAGTTATATTATTTATATTTTATGTATTTGGTTCATCTAATAACAACATGTATTATGGAATATTCTTATATATTCAGACAATGTAATACGGTGCAGATGTTCCGCTACACAGTAATAATTTGTATATTAGTATATGAATCTATATATATAATACAATAAAGCTCTAATTATCTAATTATTGCTCTGATGGTCTTTTAGTTTGGCAATGATATGAATTATTGTGAAATACACACGACTGAATAATAGTAAACTTGTTGACTTCCGTATTTTATTTTTTAAAGACCATATAAAACATTTATATACATTCTGGAAGTTTATATAGTTAGTATTATTCATCTTTTTACCAAACACTATGTACCATGATTTTTAATACGTTATATTAAGGGCAAAAAAAGATGTTAAAAATCAATGTACCATTTCAATATGTTTAAATCTCCATATATATATAATTTTTAAAAACGATCTGAACAAATTTACAATTACTTTGAAAGACCTTGCCTTTACTGCGTCTCCTTGATGCAAACCGTTATTAACCAGTCGAATATTTAGATTTGGATAATGAATATCAACTTTTAGTGTCATCGAGTCAGTTGGGGGGATGCTCGCAATTAGAGTTTCTGTTTAAATTTTAGTTTTATGACCCGCCTTGCACGCCCCTTTCTAATGTTGACATCAATTAAAACATCGGTATATTTAGCTTCATGAATAAAATCCAATCCGTCATGCATTTGTTAACCAATAATTTTCACTGTCGTCTGCTCGTGAGCACGTGCCATTTAACACCTGCATACGGCGTATTGAGGTTTAGGGTAGGAGACTGGTTTACCGCCCTATCAGGGATTAATTTATATCAAGATGAATAAAGTGTTTATTAGTGCCATATACGGGTATTAAAGAGAAGAGGGGTAGAACAGTAGAGCAAGTACTTGAACATCCCATTGACTATAAAAGGCCAGTTGAAATCGTTCAGTTGACTGGACGGGTGTTCATCTATACTAGCGACAGGAAGAATCAGTTCGGAAATATTTATTGCTAATTTCTCGGATAATCATTTTCAATATCATTCGTGATTTGGTGAGTTAGGAAATTTTCTATGTTTATGACAGATGTTACATATTTGACAAAACATTGGAGTTGTTTTCGTTGTTTATTAATATTTTTTAAAAAATATTTCACTAGACATACGACAAGTTACAACATGGTTAACAGTATTTATGATATTAATGGTAATATGTTGATTACTGATCAGAACGGATATTACATAACAGTTTATTTATTTTCTTACTACGCGTGACAAAAATTCGCACTCACAGTTATGAACTGACCGAAATTATTGATATTTTACCAATATGATTGTGGGGGGAACATATTTTGTGGGAAGTTTTAACAAATTGAAATATACTATGATAAAAGTCTTGTTCATTATTTCAGGATATCATATTTTTGAAGATTTTTTTAAATACAAAAGGTTATGTTACTTTTCAGGTTAATAAACAAATATAGTGATGTTTGTAATTTTAAACTAGTACAGCAGATGAATCACATAAAATTATAATTAATATCATTCATTGTTCAATCATTTGTTATAATTTACTTGAATTTTTTTCTCTCTTTTCTATTTTACAGGTCTTTCATCGGATCCACCGAGATCGACCTCAAGTACCGTAGTAAGCTCGTCGCCTGCGGCATACGAGCATAGACCTGTAGAAGAGGCTTCGTCCTCGACCCCCACCCCAAGCGGGACAATAGCCACTCACGAAAAACCAATGTTGCTCCTACAATCACAGGTATGGATTATTTTATATTGCATACATTTATTTATCGGGTTATTTTTGTTTCTAAAAACAAAACAAAACACAAAGTGGTAGATAAGGAATATATTTTTCTCGGAATAGATATATATTATTTCAATGGTCCTTGGTAGATTTGCCGTAAAAAAAAGTAAATTGTACAATTTTTTAAAATTAGTGCATTAAGTTTAAGATTATTTTTTACACTCACTAAATCAAAAAGTGACCCGTGATGAAAGGTTTTCAGTATTGTAGTATAATGCGGTTGTACTGAGAATTATTCGACTTTTGATTTTTTGCACTTCCATTTAAGACATTGGTATAAACATCATGTCGTATTCATATAAATCGTGTAATTAATTTAACCATTTATAAAAGATCACAAGAAAACAAAGTGTAGGGTACTTTAATTATGTTCCACATTTCCTTGCCATATGTTTAGGCACTCAGTGGTTAATATTCTTAACTGTCGGCACGTGTAATGCACGCGTAGGGTACATGCTGACAAATCTCTCTCATTCATATTTTCACATGAACAGATTGGGAACTGAACATTTTTTTTATTATGATCACTCATCCATGAATACAACTTTCAATATAATGAAGTAGTCAATGAGCTAAGAGTGAAAAAAAGTTGGATTGTAACGAGATAGTTGGGGCAATATTTACGGACTTGGCAGTATGTGGCATATGGCTGCCCATCGCTGTGGTCGATTCGCCATTAGGTGTGTGTAATGCGCCAACCTCGTTTTATAGCGATAAATACTATTAAAAGACCTGTTCACTGACTTGATTTGATTGATGCGATTAAAATAATGAGTGTAATTTGGTGGTTCATAAACTGATGTTTGCTATTGGGAGGGGTTTCATGTTGTACGCTGCACATCAGTGATCAGTATAGAATGTACATAATATCCTGTAATTTTCTTTAAATTTTATGAACAAGACAGAAACTTTTATCTTGTTTACTGTTTATTATTTATAATGTAACTATTTATTTAAGGGGGTTCAAAGTGTTTTTATTTTTGATTTGTTTGCTCTTTGTTGTGCCTATATTTTATATCTTGTTCAATAATAATACGAGTCTCTTTCATTGCGATTATCTGCAGTCCCCGGAAATAAAAGGCATGTTGTTCTATTCTAGTTCTAAGACAAACATGTCATTAGATTCTAACGAATAGTTGATGATTCAAAGGGCGTATGGCTCAATTCATTGGAACCTTAAAATAGACGAAAAGAGGTCTAAAAGCCCATATTAATGTAATATAAAAGTATATAAAGTGATTTTTATTCAAATTTAAATTTTTTTATTGTAATTTCTAATCAATTATCTTCGGAGAAATACGTGAACAGACCAAATTTAGCGACAGTCGTTTACGCCTGCTTAGTCCAATCTACGCGTTTTTTTATATTATTATTTTAGTCGTTTGTGAATTAGTCATTACTAATTACTTCTGTATTGTCTTGTCAGATGTGTTTCTTTGTCCATTACAAATGGCGCCCGATACTATAGAATACACGACTCATGTACTGATTTTAAAATTATGTCTTAAATATTAGAATCCCACATTTTAATGGCAAGATAACAACACCAATTTTGATTGAAATGGATCAATATTGAATTTTGATTCGAGCTTTTAGTTTTTAATTTGATGGAAAATATTCAGTTAGAGGTTTAGCTACTTTAACCTTTAAATTTTCCACACATTTTCTAGGATTTCTCTAATATTCTCTTGGGCTATCTTGTCTTCATCCAGAAATATACATCTAATGTGCGTGTCTTCATAGAGCTTTTTACATTTATTTCAGACAAATTACGAGTCGGCGCCAGGAATGGGCGGAAATCATTATGGAGCGTACACTGGAAATATCACTCCGCCGACAACAATGGCCGACATAGGCGTCTTCTCCGCCTCTTTCTCAGTTCCTATTCCGGACTTCCAAGCAGATCAGTCTTTTGCAAATGAGGACATCTCTGAAAATTATGCTTCCGGTTATGAAAGCAGTCAATCCAGCTTGACAAGTTTCCAAGCAACAGAGCACACACAATCCCAGGCTTTTCACGAGCCTTACAGTTTTGAAGGGAGCTTTGCCTTACAACAACGCGAACCTTCCAAACAGTCATATAACTTATATCAAGATCATACGAATCTTGGACACGAAAAGTATGGAACACCTGTTACGTCATATGATGACGCATTTCAAGCTTTTACCCCAAGTGAAACAGAATTCTTTCAACATCGTTTCTTGGACAATCAAAAATCTTATCTAAAACAGCCTTACAGTGAGAATCAGGAACTATTCACCCAGACACATCTGGGATTTACTGATATGGACAACAAACAGTCATTATATCACGCTTATGACAATCCCAGTCACTACAGCTCGGAAAATCCAACTTTTCCCGGTTTTGCTACTCCATATTACGGAAATCAGAGTGTATCGTGTGCAAATTCTAGTTTTTCATTTACGAACCGCCCCGTGCCTGCCTCTTACTTAGGTGATTTAAGTATTCCTATGACCTCACAGCATTTACAGAGAAGACCGTCATTATCCATACCGACACCACCTACACCGGATATGTAAGTATTCAAAAGTCAAACCAACCAATAAATAAACTTTCTATTATTATCGTATTGCAACAAAATTAAAAACAAGTAGATAAAAAAGTATAAAAAGCCAGTAATTCAGAATGTATTTGTGACAGTGCTGATTCGACCACATAAAATATGTTTTCGTGGCCTCTTATTGAGCTGAATTATTTTTTATTTAGGCTTGAGCGTCAGAAATACCAACTTCAGTCACCAACTACACCTCCTACCCCCAGCTCATGTCGTTCATCTCCTCCAAGAGATCAACCAATGAAAGAAAGTCTACTATGTGCTGTATGTGGTGATAATGCCGCCTGTCAACATTATGGTGTTAGAACCTGTGAAGGATGTAAAGGCTTTTTTAAGGTAAATTTTAATAAAATTTTAATCTACCATAAGGCAACCTTTGAAAATTATTAATTTATATTAATCGTGTTTTTTTATAGCCAAATTTTGTTTTTTGTAAAATATTTCTTACAAATTTGTTCTTTTATTGAGAGCGTGGAAGCAGATATTCAGCTTTCAGAACAGTAATCTCTACAGAAATCATTGTCTTTAAAAAGAACCCGTCTGTTATTTTTTTACAGCGAACAGTGCAGAAAAATGCCAAGTATGTCTGTCTGGCAGATAAAAATTGTCCAGTTGATAAAAGACGTCGAAATCGGTGCCAGTTCTGTCGATTTCAGAAATGCATGGCCGTGGGAATGGTCAAAGAAGGTAGGTGTTTTTTATAATGTTACTTGTTTACATAAGCTCCACATGTAATGTAAGCCATATACTCGAATACATGAACAAATTCTTTATCGAAGAAAATTTCTTGCTGTGCTATCAACTTAGAACTGTTAATATCTATTACCACTTTAAGGGATTCATAAAGCCAAAAAAAAAAAAAATAAACAAAGTTAGCCGCCAGTTATTTAAATATCCTGAAATTGAATGAACGTATCCAATAAGGATGCCAAGTGTGTGTGTAGAATTGGTATTTTCTGCACTGAGATCACCCTGAGCAGAATTCGACCGGTGTTATAATAAATTGTCCTAGATAGATATAAAGTAGGTCTGCCGTGATTCAAACAATACCAAAGACAAAATGTCAGAGATCAAACACTTCGCGTGGTTTGATAGAAGATCATTCACTCTATTAGCCCTGAGTAGAAATCTGGCTTCAAGTCTTTCTCTACAAATTAATGAATCTTATTGTTTTGTTTCTTGTCAAGTCTTTAAACACCCCTCCTTCTTCTCACCCCCAAAACGTTATTATATTTATCGCAATAGTAATCAGCCCGTACTATAACTTGTGATCATGTTGAAACTCTCAAATACATGATTACCTGAGGCTTGTTAGGCCGCTTACAGCATTTACAGATGTTTCTTGTAGAATGGCCACTTCTTCAGCAGCAGGTCGCATCCTTATCATTCCATCACTGACATCTGCACGTGCGGACTGACCACGTGACGAAAATGATCCCTATCGTCTGTTTTTGCTTACAAAACACAGCTATAAGCTATGTCTAAGTTTCACGCAGTAAAATAATATTCCAAGATATTTTGCCTACAGCATGGGATAAATTGTTCCGTATTGCCAAAATATTGTTGCCCTAAACGTTGGCCTTCTCTCAAGATTTGGAGAGGATGTCAAGCTAAATATATTCCACATTTCATCCTAGTTTTAACCCAAATAAAATATCCTCACTTCCACTTCAATTTAACATATCGTTAGAAAAATATTTCGTCTATTTTGTTTGAGCTGCTGTCGCTGTGTGGTTTCATTTTTCTCTGAACATGCCAGATTATTAAAGAACGTATAAATATGCTGGTTAAATAAAAGACTATGTAGCATACGATGTCAACATCTGGATAGGAAATGTGGTATTCCGCAGAGCATTTTAGCAAAATATAAGAAGAAAATTATCTAAATGGACAGCAGTTGTTGCGTCATTGAATAACTGTGGGACCCAAGGAATTCTTTAGAAATGCTTCATCTGAAAAGCTACCGGTCTTTGGTGTATTCCTATTGCACTATGTATTTCACATTGAATGAAAAACTGTTTATATGTCAGTGCCTAATGCTAATATTTGTTTACGTTTGGAAATTTAAAAACCAAACAAAACTGTAATATAAGAGTTTGGTGGAATACTTTAGAAAAATTTAATTTAAATATTCATTTCCGGTACCAACCCCAATTTGTGTTACAATTCATGTCTATTTTAAAATCTCTATTATAGCGTGTCTTTCATATGTAACTTATCTTTATACTTGTAGTTGTAAGATCTGATAATCTGAAAGGAAGGAGAGGGCGACTACCATCTAAACCCAAGAGTCCACAGGAATCTCCACCATCTCCACCAGTGAGTCTGATCACAGCACTAGTTCGAGCACATGTAGATACCTGTCCTGACATCCCGAACCTCGACTATAGTAAGGTAAGTTGACTGGGGTTGCTTTATACGTAATGCATTAATCTTTACACAGTTAACGTCTATGAATCGATAAACAAATCCAGGTAATTAAAATCACGACAGGCTTTTAATTAAAAAACCTTCTTTTTCTTTTTAGTTTCGAGTTCCAGGTGGTATGGATGAAAATGTTAAGGAAGACAATTTTAAGATGTTTTATGATATCCTCATCCAGTCGATAGATATCATCAAAAGTTGGGCTGAGAAAGTTCCTGGTTTCACAGATCTGTGTAAAGAAGATCAAGATTTGTTGTTCCAATCGGCGACACTTGAACTCTTTGTGCTGAGAGCGGCTTATAGGTATGTCCATTTTCAAAAAATTTAAGTTCGCTTTTTATCTGCAGAGAAAAGATGTCTTTATTGTTGTTTTTTTTACGGTGATTCGAGGACACGGCTTATCTCTAGCAATTGTGTTATTTGTACCTATATCTATTAATTAGTTAATATATATAATATATAATTAACCTTTATATTTGTAGGGTACAAACAAATGATGATAATATAGTGTTTGATAACGGTTTGGTGCTACACCGACTACAGTGTTTGGGAATATTTGGTGACTGGGTAAACTCTATCGTTGAATTTGGATTAAGTCTCCATAGAATGACCCTTGACCTCTCTTCACATGCCTGTATGTCCGCCCTTGCTATGGTTACATGTAAGTATAAAATTAATATTTTTAAGTTTAGATTATCAACGGCTTTTTTTTAAATCAGTTAATACATTCTATTTTAAAAACTGTAGGTAAATACCAAATATTGTGATGAGGATTAGAATATGTTCATCCCTTTCTCAGAAGTTTGCCCATTTCTCAGATGCTCATCCCTAAGATGTTCATCCCTTTATCAGACGTTCATCCTTTCTCAGGAGATAGTTGATTTTTATATCTGTATTTTTCATTTCAGTGCGCCACGGACTCAAAGAACCAGAAAAAATGGAAGAACTTCAGATGAAGATTATTGACTGTTTGAGGGATCACTGTACTTATAACAGTGACGCGCAAAAGAAAACTCACTTCTTCTCCAAGATCCTCGGAAAAATTGCCGAACTCCGGTCCTTGAGCCGCGAGGGATTACAACGTATGCTACAGTTTAAATTAGATGAGATACGGGCGCCCCCTGTTATAGAAAACATGTTCTTATCAAGTCAACTTCCGTTTTAAATTAACTGTAAAAAGAAAATGTGATAAGACCCGAAAAGACAATAATTTAGATCATTATCCAGATTCAGGGTCAGTGGATAATGGAAACATACAATCCATGATTCAGGGCCAGTGAATGGTGATGAGGATTGAACTGGGAATTATAAGAAGAAGAAGAAAAATGAAGACTGTCTGAAAACTGCACAATTTTAACATTAAACTTTTATTACTTCTTTAAATTTATAACATCACATGTTTTATTTAGCACACTTCAAGATTCGATGACGTCACTCGTCTTCGCTGTCGCCAAAATATTACGTTTATATGGTTATGTTACTTGATGTAGTGTGGTGACTTAATTTATAAATTATGTAATATATAGATATTCATTTGTAATATATGATTATTATTAATATTATTCTCTTAATAGTTTTAATAGTGCTAGTACATTTTCATAAGTGTGCAATATCTTATCATTATCTCTACCTCCGCTTCAAACTATTTACTTTCAAAAGTAGATAACATTATGAGAGTAGTTCCGCAGAATAGGAGTCTGTGCAGTTCAGACTATTGAAATGGCAGCTAAATCAGAAAAGGGCCAAAAGCGGAGGAAAATTTACAACGGTTGTAACGATTAAATGGAAGGTTGTTAATTGCATAATTATGTATTTTCTCTGAATACTGAAACAGTATAAATTATGATTGTCGAACATTTCGATTGTTTGTGTCAAAGCTGTTTTATATTCAAATACTAGTACATAGGTCACATCTGGCACGTCTACATTGTCTGACACATTTTACACCCCCTCCCTTTTGTACCTATACTAAATCTATGTCCAGTCACCCCTCTATTTAATTAATATACCATTGTGATTGTATACTGATGAGTGAAGACTGTAAAAAATGATGGAAGATCACTGAAATGATAAACCTACTTGAACTGTATATTGGGCACCTTAAGTAGGTCACTTGTACATTTTAATATCTTTTTACCTATATATATATTTTTCTACTGACCTTTTTAAATCAAATTTTAATGTAAATTAAGTATTTTACCGGTGAGCCAGTTAAAGATGACTTGATTTCATTAGCTTGAGTAGTTGATCAACAATTCTAGTTAGAAGGGGAAATACTAGATTTAAACCAAAATATCGTGACTTTTAAGGTATTTAAAAATCAATGCCATTTTTTTTCGAAACTGATTTTAAAAAAAAGAAATCATTAATTTATCAATTAAAAAGGCGTGGGGTCTAGAATGGCGAAATTAAGAATCAAATCCTGAAATCTCGAAGTTCTTCCTTATGATTACATTGTTAATAAGATACGTGTTTAAAATTCGTTTGTTTTCGAGATTCTTGTGTTAAAAAAAAACGAAACGAAATTTACATATTTATCAAAGACTTTTTTATTATCAACTCGTAGTCACGTGATACAGTCTCGTCCCCGTTATTGTTCAACTATTTTTTTTTTCAAATTATTTTCAATATCCACATTTGATAATTCACTGTTGCCGAAGTAACCTGTAGCTTTTTATTTTAAAATTTGCCTATACTTATTAAGCAGAGATGTTTTAAATACTTTTGTAGATATTTTGTTATTTATTAATACATTTTTATCGTATTTTGTACGTGAAATTAAGTGTCCCATAAAGTGCTAATGTTATATTCATACACAGTGTTTTCCATACAATATTTCTTCAAATGCTAGTACACGTGTTCTTTCGTTCTTATTCAAAGTTAACATTTTTACATTCAAAATGAATTCCGTTAGGTAATATTATGTAGCACTCTTTTGTCCTGTATAAATTGTTCTTGCACTAGTTTATGTAGGCACCCGGAACTTGAACAATTATCACAATTAATGGATTTATGTGACTATGGTTAATATAAAATATTAAATAATTCGGTAGGGTATCAGTTGATGTCTAAGTGCTATTTAAATCAGTATTTTCCTCCCTTTTCGTTATCATGCAAATTATTTGGTGCATTTTCATTTTAATTGTGGTGTTTTCGTATTATGCCAAAGACTTGCCCCTTTGGTTTTGTTTTATTTCCACCAAAATCCGTGTCATAAATTGCCTATTGAAATGGTTAAATATCGTTATTTTTTATGTATCTTTATGACGCTCCTCTCTTTAAAACATGTTATAATCAAAGGTATTAACCCAAAATTCTACTTACTATAAAATACTAGTCTGTATGCCAAAGTTGAATATTTATATATATTTATATATATTCCCTAACAATATATATTGTTATGGAATACAGAAATAGTCATAATGATTTTATTAATTAATATATTTATATCATGCATAATGGTTGGGTGTGCATTATAGACAAGGTGGATTAAAAGCATAATTGATAATGGTAATTTAATATTATATAATATTCAGTCATAATAATAATAGATGTAAGCAACCTTTCTCTGAAACAATGTGAATCTGATATTCTGCTTACTTTAAAAGGGTATTATGTAAGATTTAGATCTTAGCTCGAGAGCTGGCCGTTCTCGCTAGAATATTTAAAAAAATAATAATGCAAAATGAATATATTGAAAATTTCATTCAAATTACTTTATTTTGAGCGAAGTTATCAATGGTTGTAGTTTTGACAAGATGTGTGCAATTATCGTAACTGCCATACTGGTCATTCGAGTCTTAGCCTCACTTCTCCATTTTTAAATTAAATCATTAAATGGTCTAATCGTTCTAATCTACTTAAAATGTGAACCTTCCCATGGCATCGAGAGTGCATTATGGCCTTGTTATGTTAATTAGTGTCTAATTAATAATCTATATAACATTTATAGCCCAAAGAAAGACCTGCAATAGGCAGATTTAGCTCTTACATAATGCCTGTATAAGTAAAATTAAAAATAGCATACCCGATCTTAATTGAGGTTTTCGAAAAGAAATTAGATAATTACATCTGGAAAAAAAAAATAAATTTGATCATTCTTCATTCCAAATATAAGATTTAAAATCAAAAATATTTTATTTGTCATGTGATAATGAATCTCATGGGATGTATTTAACGATATTCTAGTCAAATTACATACCTTATATTATTATTGTTATCAGTTATTATTCAGTATAGATAAATGTATGTCCCACGCATATTTACACTTCAATCCCTCTGTAAACTAAGAACATCACGTATTAATTTGTACAATTCACGATTTCAGCTTATCATTGTGATTGACAAATCTAGAATCTGGCATAATATTTAGATTTTAGATTTTTAATTATCAAAATCCAAGTAAGGAAAATTGATATTGATATAAAACAAATAAGAAATGATGAGACGAAAATATAATCATTTTCAATTGAAAGATAATTTTGATAAAGAAAATTCTGAATGCCATAGTTTCTCAATCTATGATATAGATGATTTTAATTGTGGATGTACCTATGAAGTCACAAAACATCGCCATGGACGTTCACGATATAAAAGACATTAACTATTTTCTCTACCGAAATGTCTTTGACCATTGACTATTTTCTCTACCGAAATGTCTTTAACCAATGACGTTTTTCTCTACCGAATGTCTTTAACCAATGACTATTTTCTCTACCGAAATGTCTTTAACCAATGACTATTTTCTCTACCGAAATGTCTTTTTGAAGATTTATATTCTTTATATATGTATATTTCCCTGAGAAACTTGCTGTCTTTATAGATTGTAATTTAATCCTTATTTGTTGTCTATTTCCACATCCCCGACTCCTCGATATGGTGACACGCGTTTGCTTATTTAATTAGATATCTATTGATTATTAAATGAATTACAATTAATAATATTTGACAATGTCATATCTACGTTGTAAAGAGATGGGACTAAGCCAAGCTTAATCAACCCGCTATTCTATATAATTTTGTACAGACAATATGAAATCCAATAAAAAGTGTAAGATCTTGCTGAGTGTTTTTCTTGTTTGTGTATATCAGGAATAATTAGGTAACCTTCTAAATGTAAGGGGATTTGAGTCATTGGCAACCCCATGGCCTGTATTCGTTCTGCCAAATGAACAAGAAGTAAGGACTTTAAAAAGTAGCTCAAGAATAAAAAAAAAAAGAAACTGTCTGATCACTGATGATTCAACCTGACGAAGCAAGGGGGAACACCATCACAGAACTTTTTTTATGTAATGTACTTGCTTCATAGCACAGCTTCTATTTGCCGTGGATTTCATGCACGTATACATTGTGGATCCCCATCAAAATCAATAATGGTTATATAAAGTCCCAGGGTTACGAGCAGGTGGAGAAGCAGTCCAGTGACACTTAAATCTCATGTACAAAATTGTCCAATTCGACCATGTACTTCATTGATCAGAATACAATATCAAAACTAACAAAATCCAGGGTGAGTTCTTGCTTGTGCTCGAAATCCCGATGGAGATTGCTAGCAAGATTCCGTCCTATGCCGCGCTACTAAGCATTAAAAGTCAAGGCGTCAACGGGGAGATAACTCGGCAATTTGTGATTCAAAAGCTCGATATTTTTCAATGAACAATCCAGGACCACCGTCCTGCACCACTGACAAGAATTTTGTCAGCCAACACAGGTGTCGAAGCCAGAGTCTGTTTATGCTATAGTGAGCCAAAAACTTACCTAGTAAACGTCTGCCTCATCTACAATAACTTCAAACTGATCTCAACTCAACTGAAAATCATGTACACCAAATCCAGCATCTCTTACAGACACTCGAGAATTGTAGGGTTCAAACATAAGATGCCCGTTCTCAAAAATCACAAAATTAACAATTCCACAACATTTGTGTGTAACGTGCAGTCCTACATTAACCTATAAGAAAAAAAAACACAAAAAGGACACAAATGGATTTCCAGAGCCGTATTTGCCATGGTGCTACTGGAGCAGCTTAACCAGAGCTCTCAACTTAGAGCCTCATAATAGACTCGCCCCACCCCCACCTCACCCCCTCAAAAATCTCCAAATTATCAATATCGCCACTTGTAACGTGCCACCCTAGATTAACCTATAAGTAAAAACACACAAAAAGGACAAAAACGATTTTCCAGAGCCGGATTTGCCATGGTGCTACAGGTGCAACTGACTCAGACTTCTCAACCTAGAGTTTATAAGTTTAAGTTTATAAAATTTGGGTTCGATCTGGGTTATAAGGGGAACCAAGATCGGACTTTGGTATAGCTCTCGTTACTGCTGTACATTAGCATTCAAAGGCGCGTTACAAAAAACACCAATCTATATCTATATCTATATATATATATATATATATATATATTATTCAAAAAAAGTAGGGGATATTTGATTTTTAAGTGTTATTAAAGTCACCTAATGAAACTGACGAAGAAACAAATGACAAAATGAAATGAAGTTCACATTCATCGATTTATTCCAAATGATCGTTAGACTAAGTGAGGCACAGACTGACCATTATAAGGGTAAAATGATACCCGGGGTCAAACAGCAAAGTTACCACAGCATCACAACCAAGTCAGTAACGGGTAAATCCTCCTCTGTTTGCCAAACAAGCATTGATCCGACGTAGCATACTCCTAATGAGACGTCTAAGGTCATTTTGGTCCAGATTGTCCCATTCCTGTTGCAACGCAGCAGCAAGTTCTTGGACATTGGCAGGACGTTGTTGACGTTGACGTAACCTCTGTCCAAGCATGTCCCAGACATGCTCGATGGGGGAGAGGTCGGGACTCAGTGCTGGCCAAGGTAATGTGGTGATGTTCTGTTGTTGGAGGTAACCTGTAACGATCCTGGCCCTGTGACACCTTGCGTTGTCATCCTGGAAGATGAAACGGCGGCCATGACGTCGTGCGAACGGCCCAACATGGACTGCCAAGATGTTGTCCCGGTAGTACTGGCCTGTAACACGCCCTGCAACAACATGTAAAGCCGTTCTTCCAGCAACAGTGATGCCTCCCCACACCATAACAGAACCACCCCCAAATCGATCATGTCTGATGACGTTAACGTCTTGGAAGCGCTCGTTTCGACGACGCCACACCCTCCTACGTCTGTCCAAAAAATCAACAGTGCTCCAGCGTCGATTATCCCAGTGTTGACGATCCCTACACCAACGACGTCTTGCCTGAATGTGATGATCTCTCAAACAAGGGATCACGCGAGGACGTCGGGCGCGAAGGTGACCCCTATGCAGTCGATTCCGAATCGTCTGGCCACTCACTCTCACACCAGTGTCTGTTTGAAGACGAGCGCTGATCTGATTTGCTGTGATGACACGATTTCTCAAGGCCAAGGTACGGATAAATCGATCCTGGGCTTGAGTTGTCGCCCTTGGTCGACCTGAGCGTGGTCTGTCCTGTACAGATTGTGTATCACGGTATCTTGACCATAGCCTGCTTATGACAGACTGAGAAACATTCATCGTCCGCGCCACAACCGCCTGTGTTGTGCCGATCTGTAGCATGCCAAGGGCACGTAACCTTTCATTTTGGGTAAGCCGACGCATATCAAAATTTGTTTTCTGGTCACTAAAACAATTAAACTGATGTTTCCACCCTGGAATTCAATGCCACAATGACTGTAACATTCAAAGTCAGAGTCGTGCAAATCTTGGGTTGGACCCCCATGATGATCCCAAGCATCACCTGCATTCCATGCGGTAGCTATTGGTGCGTTTGGGCGTCACATGTAACTGGAAATGTTTCTTCTGTTAGGTTCTATAGTGACATTTTTCGTAGTCATTTGCATATTTTAGTATTATGCCCCCAAAATCAAATATCCCCTACTTTATTTGAATAGTATATATTTGTGATTGCCGTTTGTCTGTCTTTCTGTCTGTCTGTCTGTTCGGGGTTGGCGGCTACACTAGGTCTGCCCCGAGTCTGAAATTTGGGGTATAGGGGTAGCTCGGACCGGGGAGTAACAAAGGCCAGGTGGCGTTAGTCTACCACTTCCGGTTTCGGAGTTATGACCCCCCGAGCGAAGTCTGTCTGTTCTGGGTTGGCGGCTTCATCTGCCCTGAGTCTGAAATTTGGGGTATAGGGGTAGCTCGGACCGGGGACTAACATAGGCCAGGTGGCGTTAGTCTACCACTTCCTGTTTCGGAGTTATGACCCCCGTTCGAAGTCTGTCTGTTCGGGTAACTCGGACCGGGGAGTAACATAGGCCAGGTGGCGTTAGTCTACCACTTCCTGTTTCGGAGTTATGACCCCCGAGCGAAGTCTGTCTGTTCGGTTTTGGCGGCTACACTAGGTCTGTCCCGAGTCTGAAATTTGGGGTATAGGGGTAGCTCGGACCGGGGAGTAACATAGGCCAGGTGGCGTTAGTCTACCACTTCCGGTTTCGGAGTTATGACGCCCGAGCGAAGCCGGTCTGTTCGGGGTTGGCGGCTACACTAGGTCTGCCCCGAGTCTGAAATTTGGGGTATAGGGGTAGCTAGGACCGGGGAGTAACATAGGCCAGGTGGCGTTAGTCTACCACTTCCAATTTCGGAGTTATGATCCCCGAGCGAAGCCGGGTATCCTGCTAGTATTTTATAAAGAACATAACAAACATATAGTATACAATATGGGACAATGGCAATTAAATCACTTTTAATAGATTTTTATTTATTCCGGGAATGCACGCTTATAAAGATACCAGCCACACTGCACTGAAGGGAATCGATAGAACATAAACATGTTGAACGTCTATTTAAGTTGTGTGAAATTAGATCTTTTAAATAGTCAGGGGCCAGATTATTCAGGCACTTGTAGACCATGACAAGGAGCTTGAATTCAGCTCGTACTTTTACTGGTAGGATGTGGAGCTCTTTGAGTGCAGCAGCTGGGCTTGGGTATTTATAGATACACTAAATATCATTTTGGCGGCCATGTCTTGGACTCTTTGAAGAGGAAGTAAGGTAGAGGCTGTGAGATTGACATAGAGACAGTTACAATAGTCAATACACGAGAACACCAGAGCATTTACTAGTTTTTAGGCAGGTTGGCTTGTTTAGAAACGGTCTCAATTTCCTGAAATTAAATAATGTCAGTATTGCATGTCGGGATTTGAGGGGGATATGAGATTTAAGGTTTACATTGTGATCAAAAGTAACCCCTAGCTCTGTGTCTCTATTTGAACTGGTCACCATGATCACACCGACTTTCACTTCGATTGCGGGTTATTCGATTTGTTATCATTCATCTTCAAGCGAGTTTTGTGCATCCAAGTCTTGGCATTATCCATAGCGTATGTAAGACGTGCTAGAGTTGCTAGTTTAGCGGATGAGTCAGAAGTTTTCCAACCGACGTACGCATTATGGCGTATTCTATTAGGTTAATGCCTTCACCAATAGAGTATTATTGCAGTGTACTAGCATAGCGTGTAAAAACGAAATGGGCCGTTTATGCTACACTGTGGCACAGATGAATTGGTGTAAATTGCATCGGAGGAAGAAACATGAACATTGATTTCAAAGGTTCTGTCAATGAGATATGAAGCTATCCATTCTTTGACCTTACTACAAACACCAAAAGATGTTCCAAGGACGTCCAAGAGAAGCTGATGATGAACCGTGTCGAATGCGGTGCTTAAATCAACTGCGATAAACGCGGTGAACTGTTGTCGTTCCATGCCCCACAGAATATCATTATAGAGCTTTAATGTTGGTTTTCGGTACTGTAGTTTTGCCTGTAGGCACTTTGGTATGCTGGTAAGAGTGATTGTGAGTCAATGTGCTGTGAGAAACTGATTAAAGACGCACTTTCCACCAGTTTTGAGAGAAAAGAAAGGTTATTTACAGGTCAATAGTCTTTCTTTATGCGCTCTAAATTTATTTTTTTGAGCAGCGGTTTTACTATTGTCCTTTTATAGACTTAATTATATGACAGATTATGACGGCGAATAAGTCCACATGCTGCTTAATTAAGTTAGAGGGTAGAGGCTGCAAGTAGTGGGCTTTGCCTTTACAATG